CCCAGCCTCTGTGGTTTCAGTCTCTCGTTGCTGAGGACGGTCAGCCGTCACTTTTCAATGAGTTCATGTACCTCCTTACAGAGCTCTTCCTCCCACTTGAAAGATGCTGCTTCTGGACTTTTTGAGGTAGAGAAGTCAGTAAGTAAATCTGTTAGCACTACACGCAGAGTAAGAACACACAGACACGCCGGCCAGTGTGGCTCAGAGGTTGAGCGTCGACCCATGAACCAGGAGGTCACGGTTCAATTCTCGGTCAGCGCACATGCCCGGGCTGCAGGCTCGATCCCCAGAGTGGGGCATGCAGGAGGCAGCTGATCAATGATTCTCTCCCATCAACGATGTTTCTATCTCTCTCTCCCTGTCCCTTCCTCTCACTGAAATAAATAAAAACATGTTTTAAAAAAAGAAACACACAAACTCTGAGAATGAGGGCCCGAGGCGGCTGTGGGGGTCTGCCACATCGTGGACCCCAAGGCACCAGCCCTCCCAGGACTCCCCACCTCGCACAGTCCTCTCCTTACATCTGGGCTGGGGCTCGGACTTGCTTTGACAAGAGAATTCAGGGCAAGTCGTGCTGGGCCAGGTCCAGGGCTGAGCCCTAAAAGGCTGGGGAGCGCCTGCTTTGTGCTCTTGGGAGCCCGGAGCAGTGCAGCTGCCCTCACAGGAACTACTCCCCAAAGCGGGGCCTCTGGGAAGGGAGAGAAGCCCAGCCCGGCCGCCGCCCCAGGCCCGCAAGCACACAGGGACCACCGGCCGGGCCAACTGAAGGCCCTCACCCCGAGCCCAGCCCACGGAACAGGGAGAAATCATAATAAAACCATGAAAGGCTGCTCTCCACGACTAGGTTCTGGGCGGTTTTCTACAGCAATAGGTAAAAAGAGGTCTTCTTTGGGACAAGGGACATATAGGAAGCTAAAGAGCTTGGACCAGACAAAGGCTCAACCTTACTGCCGTGGTTGTCAGGCCTGGGCCTGTTCGCGCACCAACTGGATAAAAGAAACAGTGGGTTAATAACAATGCAGAGCGCAAGGCCGCCGTCTCTGACAATCCCCGCTCTCTCCGCCCCATCCCCAAAGCGACGAGTTAAACGAAACAGAATAATGTGTAAAAAGTAGCATCCAGCCTTGCGCTTGGGAAGCACTCAAAAATGCTTGTGAGTTCCTCCATGCACTGTTTAAAAATTGATTTGAGCGAGCGAGCGAGTGAGCGAGAGAAAAGGGGGGCGGGGGAGAAAGGGGGAGAGAAACATGGATCTGGTGTTCCACTTAGTGTGCATTCACTGGTTGATTCTTGTATGTGCCTGACCGGGATCAAACCCCCAACCTTGGCCTATCGGGACGACACTCTAACCAACTGAGCTCCCCGGCCAGGGCCCTGCGTGCACTCTTAAAGCGGTGACGGGAGCACGGACATACCCATTCGGAGGCACTGTGGTGAAACAGTTAAGATTGTTCTGGAACCAAGCAGTCTGGGTTCCAATCCTGGCTCCGACAACCACGAATTGTATGGCCACTGACAACCTACTCAACTCTTCGGTGCCTCACAATGAGGCTAACAGTGCGGGCCCCACAGGGCTCTTAGGATTAAGTGAGTTAACGTTAAGAGGTTAGAAGGTGCCCGGCAGGTGGTAAGGACTAGGTAACGGTTAGGGTTGTCCTACATCTCGGGTTCAGTCTGTTACACTTAGCTTCTACGCTCCAGTAGTCACAGCATTAACCTTTAAAGATTTCAAAACGGAGAAATTATCAATCAGGATAATTAAATGCCATTTTTAGTCTCTTTTCTCTTTTCTTCTAGATTTCTCCCCAAAAGAGTCAGATCCAAACTCAATAGTCTTTGGTGAAGTCTTAGAAAAGTTAGCAACTCATTGTGAGAAGGGAACCAAGAAAAGTGACAAGTGACGTGTGTGCACAATTACAAAGCAAACACGCTGAGACGCCGGGGTGCTGAGGAGAGCAGGGGGCAGGGCGTGTCGTCCAGGCCCTTAGCCTTCGGCTTGGGGACCCTCCCCTATACAGCGCTCCCATTACCCGGCTCAGGCCTGTCGCACCCACCACCGGCCCCACCCCTGGGGGCAGGAGGAGTAAATGAGATGGAACATCCCTAAGGCGCTGGGCAGAGGTCAGGAAGTCTCTCTCTCTCCTTACAGTATCTCACTTTGTGCAATAACCTCTTCCATTTCCGAACATTTCAAATTAGCCAGGACTCCGTTCCTGCCGGCCAGCAGGAGGGCCCCTGCAAGGACCTTTCATGAGCGCTAACAAGAAGCAGATTTTCTCTAAGAAACTGAAGAATCGGCGCTCCTCAGACAACTCTCCAAAATAGCTCAGTCCATTCAATAGAATCCTCTTTGGAAACAAAACAAAAAAGACCCGACTGCCGCCTGCACCCCGGCCCACGGGTCGCCGCTGCGGAAGACAGATGGGCACAAAGGCGCGTGCGGGCCTGTGATGCCCGCGGGGGCGGAGGACCGGCTGCTGGGACCCCAGGACTCCCTCTTGTCTGTTCTGACCCCCTCCCCGGTTTCTACACTTTACAAAGGGCTTAGAAGTTGTATTTCTGGCACAAGCGACTCTTCCAGCCACCGCTGGGTTGGGCCAGATTTAGCCTGAGGATCGGCGGGCAACCGAGCCCACGCAGTGCCTGCAGGGAGATGCCAGGCTGCCCCAGCTCCTGACTGGCCCCAGGGCTGCGGGCTCGGCCAGAGGGCTCTACTTGTGATAAAGGGTCTCCCCTCCTCCAGCCCTCGTTCTGCCCCATAACCAGGGTCTCCACAGGAGGGAGGGAGAGGGAAACGAAGGGCCCTGGAGAGGAGCCGCGAGGAGATCCTGGGACCACCTGGCCCTGGCCTCCCGGGGCTGCTGGGAACCGGAGCTCCCGCGTCTGCCTGGGGTTAATGTTTCAGGGTCAGCAGTACAGACGGGAGGTTGCTGGTCATGGCGAGGACACCGGGAGAGGTTGGCGGCCAGCTTGCGGGCCCCACAGCGCAATCAGTCCAGCCCCTCCCACCCAGGTCTACCCCCGCAGGGCTCTGGGCGCGGTACCAGGACTACTGCAGACTTCACACTGCCCTGGGCTGTTCTGCTGGTCCACCCCATGTCCCCCAGTGATGGGGAGCCCTCGAGGGGAGGTACCCCACCACCCGACTTCCTAAGGTGAGAAGCCTCCCTTCCCTTTCTCCCTCCGCAGGTGGAATTCACACCAACAAGGCAGGGCTGGGGCCAAAACACAAACCCCCAGCGGGCCTCCCTGCCGGCGTCTCGGCCGCTTGTATTTACAAAGTCCCCAATCCCTCACCTCTACTGGGACCAGCCCGGGACCCTCTCGCCCCTCAGCTGCCTCCCAGCCTGTCCCGTCCTGAGGCAGACTGCTCCCCGCGGCTTGGCTGCTGCCCCCGCCTGGAATGCCCTCGCCCATCCTGTGCTCCCATCACCCGGCCCAGGCCTGAGTCAGCAACTGTCCACCGCTCCCGGGGGACGAGAGCCCGGTAGTTCCGGAACAGCGCTCTGAGGGCAGCGTCCTGGGTCTCGGGGCCCCGATCCCGGGCTCTGCCCAGCACAGGGGTGTCTGCTCGCGCCCAACGTGAAACACGGGGACAGTGAGGCGTCTGCGATGAACACGCTGCAGGTCTTACTTCCCTTCAGAGCCCCCAGGCACCCGAGAGGACTCGAAACGCAGGCTTACTGCACAGACACGTGGATCGGGAACTGCATCCCTGCGACGGGTCAGGGTGGCCGCGGCCTTGAACCCTAAGCCACCCGGTCCAGGATGTGCAGGCTGGGCCCGAGGAGTGCGAGCGGGTGCGTGCCAGCACTGAGGGGGTGGGCAGGGTGACCCGATTCCAGGGTGACGTACTTGGGCCCCAGCCAGAAACACGACCAGGCCCATTGGTCTGATACCCACTGAGGTGCCACAGCAGTGACGGCTACAATTAACGTGACAACCACAATTAACGTGACGACCAGGTGCCAAGCAGGTTACGCGCATTGGCAAAGCCAGACAGCCCGGGGGATTCCTCCAGCGTGTAACCACGTGACTGCCAGCAGCGTGCCGTGCTCCAGGCCAGGCGCCGAGGATGCAGTGAGACACAGCCCCCAGCCCGGGGAGTCATGGTTTGTGGAAGGAAACAGACGGAAAAATAGGCCAGTAAACACAGAGGGGGAGACACCATCCCGCGGACATTAACCCGGGCCTGCGTCAGGCCGTGTGGGCGAATCCACAACCACAGCCATATTATTTTGTACAAATTGCTTAAATTCCCTAAATGCTCCTCTCCTCATCGGTAACAGAGATTAATAATACTTAAATTGAAGACTAACCAGGGCAATTTACATAAAACGCTTACCTTGGGATGAATAAAAATAAAATTAAGTAAATGAATGATGGTTATTGCTCTTTTCGTTAACCGCACGATAATTAGGTAGAATGCACAGATTTAGAGCATGACATCTCCCTGTGTTTCTAACTTGTTCTCACGAATGCACCTTCGAAACACCCAACCCTGAGGTCCCTTCGCTGCACTGATTCGTGACTGGAGGGTCGCCGGGGCGACCTTGTAATTTATTGCCCAAACCGGGGCACCTCTGAGAGTGGACAGAACAGGAACGATTGGTAATCCCACTGGGATGACAGGGTAAACCAGGTGTACCATTCTGAGCAAGTGGAACTGCTGATCACTTAGTCCATCATGCACAGACCAAGTTCAGGGGAAAAGTCAGCAGCCCTCACTGGGCATCCTTTCTCCCTTTCGCCAAAAGTTTTGGGAGGTGCCACCAACATCGAGAGCAGGCCCAACTAAACTCCGACCTGGATAACAGCCGGCAACTGCACCCCAAATCCCTAAGTCAGGACAGTCCATGTCCACGAACACCAAGCACGCACACACACACACACACACACACACACACACAGCTCTTCTCAAAACCTGAGTTAGAGTCAGCCCGGGCCCTGGCACCTGTCATCGCCCCTCAGTAGCTGAAGACTCCCGAACGCCCCCTTACCTGAGGTGCCCCGCGCTGTAGAAGCGGGACTCGCCGTCGGTGGAGCGGACCACCTGCAGCGAGAACACGGGCTGCAGCTGCCTGAGCTCCAGCAGGACGATGGCCAGGTAATGGATGAAGAGCAGCGCGTCCACCAGCGAGACCGCGTATTGCACGATGCCCTGGTAATTCCGGTCCCGGGAGTCCAAAATGCGGACCCCGTAGAAGAGCCAATAGGAAACCACAAAGAGGAAGATGAGGACCAACAGGAGGGCCCGGAACACGAACACCCGGGGCAGGTCGGCTCTCTGCTTGCGGAAGAAGAGGGCCCAGGTCCCGATGAGCAGGATGAGGAGTTTGAAGGCCACGGAGATGAAGAGTCCCTCGCAGATGGTGCCGCAGGGCTCCATCTGGTCCCTCCACAGGATGGGGGGCAGCAGGATGAAGGCGATGGGGGTGAGGAAGACTAGGAGTCCGAGCGCCGCGGCCACGGTGAGGCCCAGGTAGCGCTTGCAGTCCAGCCCCACGCTGTCCTCCAAGTCCTTGCTGATCCTGGCGATGTCCTCCTGCGAGATACTGTGCTCCGAGGTGCCGGTGATGGCCGTGGTGGTCTCGCCCCAGTTGTCATCCTGACGGGAGAAAACAACCAGGATGCAGAGCCGCACGCAGCGGGTCATTCGCAAAGGCCACCTGCGGACACGGTGGGTGGGCGGGAGGTCCCACCCGCAGAACCGACCCACCCGCCTGGGCTTCCTAGAACATTGAAGCTTAACGCGTTCAATACAGGACTTTTTAAACTTTACAATCATCACTGACATTTCTCAAAATGCACTGTATCTATTTACAAACAGAGAGAATGTAATGTGACCTTTTTGTCGGCTTGTTTGGGTGACTCATTATGACATGATTATCACCCCCTCCCTGTTGGAGTCTCCTGAGAGGCTTGGAGGGGCCTGGGGCTACCTGTTCTGCACTAACCAATCCCGTTGCTTGTTAGACTAACACAGGAGGGCCCACCTGTGGCATAAGGAGAAAACCCTCCTCCTGTTCTCCTCCACTCATGCCTGGGTCACAAAGGCTACAAGCCCACCTTCTGGAAGTGCCCTCCGGTAGCTCACGCAGCGGAAGGCATCGAAGGGAACTTTCCTTGCTCGGATCAAGGCTTACCTGCAGCGAGGATACACAGTTTTTGGAGCTCCGTGACGTTCCCAAGGCCCATTTAATAAATACCAGCGTCGAGCACTCCCTGGCAACGCTTCTCAAGGAACAAGCTAAGCAAATCCAAGCGACTCTGGCCAGGGCAGCTAGACCTCCTCCCACGACACACGTGCTCCTGGCAAGCTGAACCTCAGGGCCCGGGGGTACCAGGATCTTCACGGCGTGTCTGCCTTTTGCTTTCTTGCTTTCTCTCTTTTTAACTCTGAGGTGGTTTCTAGTTACAGCCAAGAGTCTTCATTGAACAAGACCCAGTTGTCAGGATTTTAAGCAATTTTGCTATTTCGCTGGCAACTCTGACTCCACCCCGAAAAGCAACAACAGAGAAGGAGGCAATGAAAAGCCACATGGAGTCCAGAGGGTGGGCCTCAGGGATTCGTGTGTGGGATTTAACTGGGAAAAAAGTCAGACGGAGGGAAATTAATGTGTAAGACACCAACTTAAAAAAAAAAATCTAGTTTAACAGCTGAATCAGCAAGATAGAGCTCTCACGACTGAACAATAACCTCTAACCTAGTAAGGATAAGAAATTGGATTCACAAAATGCACCGGCCACGGCAAGGAGCGGGGTAGGGGGCGAAGGGCCTGGCCTGTGAAGAGACAGTTCCTCAGTTTGGAAAGCGACTGGAGCCACACACCATGAGGGAAGGGACCTTTTAAGACGAGGAAGCACCCAGGACTCTCGGACATCGCTGGAGGAAGCATAAGGCACACAAATCGCTCTTGAAAACCATCCTGGCACTTCCATATACATTTAAATATAGGCTTCACTGTATGGCCCAGCAGCTCCACTTCCAGGTTTTTATCAAAATAAAATGAAAACATATGTCCACAAAAGACTTGTACGGGAAGGTCCTTCACAGTTTTATTCATCGGAGCCCAAAAATGGTGCAACCCAAATGCCTGTCGGTCAGGAGAACACATAACAAATTGTGGGACATTTGTACCCTGGGACACGACTCAGCAAAAATCCCGAAGGAGGAACCGCGGAAACGCACCACAGCGTGGAGAAATCTCCAATCACGATGCTGCGTGAAAAAAAGTCCGAATCAAAAGAATGTGATTCCAATTACATGAAATTCTAAAACAGGCAAGACGAATCGACAGGGACAGAAATCAAAGCCGAGCTTGGAGAGGGGGAAGGGGGAGACAGGGAAGAACATCAGAGAACTTTCTAGAGCAGTGATGGCGAACCTATGACAGGCTTGGAGAGGGGGAAGGGGGAGACAGGGAAGAACCTGAGAGAACTTTCTAGAGCAATGGAAATACATTTATCTATAGGAGTATGTGTTATATGGGTTTTATTCAGCTCTTAAAGTTTGCCAAACTGTACACTTTAGTCTGTTCATGTCTCTGTGTGTAAATTCATTTCAGTTTTTAAACAAGAACAAAATCACAAGCGGGGGGGGGGGGGGGAAATTCAAAGATGGCACCTTGCTCTCACACCGGGGGAGTTCACGGGCTCCCTAAAATAACTGACCTGCCTATGCTCTTAGTGAGGGCGACGCGGGACTCCACGCGGTGTACGGGGCCTAGTCTTCGGTTGACACTCAATGCTGAAACCATGACCAGCATATGGAAATATATTTATCGACAGGAGTATGGGTTATATGGGTTTTATTCAGCTCTTAAAGTTTACCAAACTGTACCCTTTAGTCTGTTCATGTCTCTGTGTGTAAATTTATTTCAATTTTAAAAAAAGAACAAAATCACAAGCAGGGGGGGAAATTCAAAGATGGCATCTTGCTCTCATACCGGGTGAGTTCACGGGCTCCCTAAAATAACTGACCTAGCTATGCTCTTAGTGAAGGCGACGCGGGACTCCACGCGGTGTACGGGGCCTAGACTTCGGTTGACACTCAATGCTGAAACCATGACCAGCATCTTGCAGTCCTTTTGTTGGCCACCACACTCTGATTTAGCTCCTCACCTTTTTTTTTCCTGCCAAAGCGTCGCTAACTAAATCCCTGTCTATGTTAAGAATGTGTGCACATCTGAGCCTAAAAAATGCAGATGGCTAAAGGGCTGTCTGGTTCAAGTTTGAGGTTCTTGGAACAGAAAGGATCGAAGACCCTCAAATCCATGTTCTTAGAGTTTCAGTGAAGAAGCTGAGGCCCACCAAGGTGACTGCCAAGGTCACACAGCAGCTGAGTACAGCCTCCCAATGCATTTCCCATCACGTCATCCTGGTGTCAACACCAATAGCTTCCCAATGGAGCTACAAGGCGTAGAGAAGCTGCAAAGAAGAGTTGCTTTCGCACGGGCCATCAGCACCTCTGGATCCACATCTAGAAGGGAACGGACTCCCTACGGCACCGAGGATGGTCCACTCAGGAGTGGCCCCATCCATCCAACCACCCCTCCGACCCTCCAGCCCCTGGCCCTCCCAGAGCCACGGCGGGCAGTGAGAGAGTGAGGACTACAGACGTTACTCATCCTGGACACATCCCACCCTCGTCCCGCAGCTGTAGCTCTGGGTCCCAAGGGCACCCTGTCTGCTCTGAGGAGCCCATCTACCTGCTCAGAAATGCACATCTGTGCAACCCCACACGCACACAGAGACTTCTCCACAGTCCGACTTCCTTACAGCTGTGTGTGCACACACCGGGTTATTAGGGACCCAGGCTGGACATGCATCTATTTCCCGAGCCGGGGAGGGTATGCAAACATGTTTCTGAGTGTAAGCTCAGAAATCTATTTAAGTCAGATGGGCTGCCAGATAGTGGGGGCCCAGAGAGAAGACCCCACACAATGTTTTATAAAAATTCATAAATTACCAAAACAGTTGACCCTTGAACAATGTGGGGGTCAGGGACACTGACCCCAGGGCTCCGTCGAAATCTGCACATAACTTTGACTCCCCCAAAACTAAACTACTAGTAGCCTACTGTTGACCAGATGCCTTACCAATAACCCAAAGAATTAAGACACATTTTGTATGTTATATGTATCATATACTGTTTTCTAATAATAAAGGAAATTAGAGAAAATATTACTCAAAAAATCATAAGGATGAGAAAACACATTCCCAGGACTGTCCTTACTTAATGAAAAAGATCCGCGTGTAAGTGGACCCGCGACAGTTCAAAAGCCACTGTACTTAAAACCCTGAGTGAGTTCACATAAAATCCTGATCTCCAGCCTTTTACTCAAAAAAATCAAAAGGATGAGAAAACACATTCCCAGAACTGTCCTTACTTAATGAAAAAGATCCGTGTGTAAGTGGACCCGCAACAGTTCAAGCCACTGTACTTAAAACACTGAGTGAGTTCACATAAAATCCTGATCTCCAGCCTTTCCTAAATATGGCAGGACCCAGGCCCACAGGCAGAGCCCCTGCGCTCCTGAGCAGTGAGCAGCTCCTGGATGTAGGAGCTGCTGCTCCCGAGGGAGCAAACGCATCCTCGTGTGTCCCAGACCCCTCCTCGCTGCAAGGCCCTGGCGCTCCCGATCCTCAGACTGCTGCCCATCCCCAACCTGCCTGACACACTTTGGCCTTTTGCGTGTCCCAGGGCCGGTTTCGTCCACCTGTGCTTTCCCACGCGGCATCTGAGCACGCGGCCCCCGATCGATTTCATGTCCAGGAGTGATGCTCACTCAGGGCTGCCCTAACCGCCGCTCTTCTCCCCACACGACTCGGCGTTTCCGAAAGGAGGGTCCTTTCCTCTTGTACCCTGTTCCCCTTGCAGCGAGTCTCCGGACACTGAGCCCACACTTCTCCCTCCTCTGCCCCGGTGTCAGCCGAGCTGGCTTCTTTCCAACACGACTCATAGCAGGCCCACCCGCCACACTTCAGCAGCGCCCGCGAGCTGGCCAATGGCAGCACAGGCTGCCCGTAAGACCAACAAGAAACCACAGGACACAGATAAACTAGTTAACATGCTGGAAAAATAAAGGTAAAAACCCAAGAGAACCTACCGCTACAAGACTTAGGAAAACATTTGCCGAAAAGAGCCCTGATGGAGGGGCCGTGTGCTTACAGACCACCCTGGACCCTCACCTGAACTTCCTCCGTCCGCGTGGAGTCGTTCCCCAGCAGGGGCTCCCCGGTGGGCGCCTGGATGGTGACAGCCTTTTCGGATCCTCTGCCATCTTTGCTCCGGGGTGATTTGTGCCTCTCTCTATTTCTCTCCCTAAAAAAAAAACAAACAAAAAAAAACATCAGCTAGCACATTTATCTCATGTTAATTAACTCTCATCTCTTCCAAATATATTGTAAATTTCACTTTGAATTTAGGAAAATTACACACACACACACACACACTGGCAATACCCACCTACCGCCACTCCTCCTCCCCCACAAGGAGTAGGTTGATTTTAGCATTTTCTTCCTGCTATTCCAGGACCCCAAACAAAGACTGTGATACCTCCATCAACAGTGATCATATTTTTTCAAAGCCTAACTGTGAATTTCAGAATCTGTGGAGCTAAGGCATATTGTTATGGTAAAATGACGGCCTCGCTTTGGCTACAATTTGACTGAACTTATTTTCTAGGCCCCGCCTCTGCCCTGATTCTGATTTTGATTGGGACAACACTGCAAAATCGTCAAGCTTTGCTCTGTCCAAAAAAATCTGGGACACACTGTCACCCTACACCTTTTGGACAAGAAGAAAGGAAATTCTAAACCAGCACAGGGAATCATTTACTCCTCATTCCTACAACTTCAAACTAAAAGTCATTCCCACAGGGTCCAGCTGAACTCAAAGACAGCCACAGAAACAAACAGAAGCTGGGACAAATGATGCCAAGGTGTGTGTGTGGTGTGTGTGTGTGTGTGTGTGTGTGTGTGTGTGTGTTCTCAGGTGTCCACAGGACAACAGGCTGCTGGGTGATATTAATCCTGGGTGGTCTCCCCGGGTGACTGTGAGCCCCTGCTGTGGGTCAGTCCTGAAACTGCAAAAAGAATGAATCACTGTGCAAACCTCAGAGGTCACAGCCTGGACATCAACCACCCCGACTGGGAACAGTCAACGCAACCCAAGGAGCCAAGAGTGAGTTCCCTCAACTTCCTGTCCACAGGCCGCCATGACATCAGCCCTCCCTCCTCCAACCACTGTCCTCACTCCCAGGTCTCCAGGCGGGACAGAAGCATGGCACCGCTGACCCTGGTGCTGCCCCTACTATAGGTGGGGTCTTGCACAAGTTATTCAATCTCCGAAGGCCTCCGTTTCCTCCTCTGTGAGATGGGGCTAATGATACCACCACAGAGGTTGTGCAGGCAGAGCTGAGGACAGGGGTGTGGCGGTAGGTGTAGCTACTATCATTATGGCTAGTACTCTTAGCCGAGGGCAAAGTGTGTACCTTGGCAGAAAGAGATGTAAAATGAGCCATCAACACACCCTCACACCCTTTCCTGCCCCCACAGCACACCTTCCATTAATCTACTACTTAGCTAACAACACCACATGCAGGCGTCCTGTTCAAACTCCTACTTTATCAGGACGGCCCGAGCATAAGCATGGGCTAAGCCCTTCGAAAAGCTGGGGGGGCTTCTGACTCTTCCGTGATAGCGACTCTAATCTCTAAGTAACTTAAATCTATTGTAAATCAGAGTCTAGCAATAGATGTGTTCTGGTCAACTCGGCGTTTCACGTCAGCCAGGCAACCGGGGAAACAGCCCAGAGATCTGAGAGTCACTGCCAATCACTACGCTCCACGCCCACCCCACTTCTTAGAGCACTTTACTGAGTGCGCGGTGGTATTAATGTCATTCTACCCCAACAATAACCTTGAGGCCAGTATTACTATCCCCATTTTACAGACGAGGAAACTGAGGCTCAAAGAGTTAAAGTGACTTCCCAAAGCCACAGTCCGTGGCAGAGGGGGATCGGAACCCAGGCCTGCTCCCTGCCTCCACTGATACCCACTATGCTGCACTGATGTGAGAAGCCTTAGGAGATTTTGCAGCATGAACATTACTACTTACTGCCCATCCCCTCACCCTATACCCGAGGAACTAGCACAGCTGTGAATATGCCTCTGAAGCTACTGCTAGGAGTCACAATGGGGCTGTGGCCTAGGACAGCACAACGCGGAGTGGGTGGCCAACATTCTGCCCAAAACAATCACTTGCAAAGGACTCACTGTGAGAACCACAAACAACCAGGGAGATCCCCACCTGGCAGGGTGAACTGCTCCGGCAAAGTCTAGAGCCGCTGCTCCCAGGGTCCCCCGCCTCCAGGCCAGACCTGGAGCCTCCTGTCCGACTTCACTCTTGTTCCCTTTCCCCACCCGCTCTCATCTCTGTCGCTCTCTCTGCCATCAGCCACCTCACATGCAGGCCTCACCCATCCACCTCGTCGCCGGTCCCATGGGTCAAATCCTGTGACGGCACAGATTCCAGCGGAAAGCAACATTCTTCCACCGAGTGCGGCTGCCCCAGGCAGACAGCAGGTGGGGAACCAGCAGGCTGGCAACAGGCTCCCAGGGACCCGCCATCACTCCAACCGCACCCACCCAGCCTGACTTGTGAAGGCCCGACAGTACCCAGAGAGACGCGGCGGCCTCAGCTCCTCTGGTCCCATCGGGGTAAGCCAGAGAAGAGCCATCTGATCACCCAGGAGGGTTTCTCATCCCCAGAGCCAGAAACCCCAGACCGGCGCTTCTCAGAACCCAGTGCAGAGAAGCCGCGGGGTGCGGGTGTGGGTGCAGACTCGCTGGCGCCACCCTCAGAGGATTCCTCTGGAAGGGAGACAACAGGAACTGCATTTCCACCAGCGCCCCAGGTGACCCAGGAACCGGTCCCCAAGGCTCTCCCACCACCTGCCCCTGGGGAAGGGGCTGTTGGACGAGCTGCTTGGAAGTCGGCCTGTCGGGGAAGTGTCCTGTATACAGCAGGGGCTCACTCATGGGTGTGACACCCAGCTGTATGGTGTCCCAATGTCCAGCGGCTGCTTTATTAAACCAGCACTAGGTGGAGGCGGCTGGGAGGAGGGCTCAGGGCAGCGTGCGTGGGACAGAGGGACACAGGACAGCAGGCATGGGACAGAGGGACACAGGGCAGCATGCATGAGACAGAGGAACACAGGGCTGTGCGTGGGACAGAGGGACGCAGGGCAGTGTACATGGGACAGAGGGACACAGGGCAGTGTGCGTGGGACAGAGGGACACAGGACAGCATGCATGAGACAGAGGAACACAGGGCAGCGGGCATGGGACAGAGGGACGCAGGACAGCGGGCATGGGACAGAGGGATGCAGGGCAGCGGGCATGGGACAGAGGGACGCAGGGCAGCGCGCATGGGACAGAGGGACACAGGGCAGCATGCATGAGACAGAGGAACACAGGGCAGCGGGCATGGGACAGAGGGACGCAGGGCAGCGCGCATGGGACAGAGGGACACAGGGCAGCATGCATGAGACAGAGGAACACAGGGCAGCGGGCATGGGACAGAGGGACGCAGGGCAGCGCGCATGGGACAGAGGGACACAGGGCAGCATGCATGAGACAGAGGAACACAGGGCAGCGGGCATGGGACAGAGGGACGCAGGGCAGCGCGCATGGGACAGAGGGACACAGGGCAGCATGCATGAGACAGAGGAACACAGGGCAGCGGGCATGGGACAGAGGGACGCAGGGCAGCGCGCATGGGACAGAGGGACACAGGGCAGCATGCATGAGACAGAGGAACACAGGGCAGCATGCATGAGACAGAGGAACACTGGGACAGAGGGACACAGGGAAGCACGCATGGGACAGAGGGACACAGGACAGCGGGCATGGGACAGAGGGACACAGTGCGAGACCTTCCTCTGCACAGTCATGTGAGTGTAAATATCATCCTAGCAGCTCAGCCTGGGCCGAGTTGTGCTGTCCTTGTGTCAGGGAGCAAGAACTGCCCTATGGCTTTTAGGGAAAGCCCGGGTCCTGAATGCCTGCTCCGGAGGGTCTCTGAGCCGGTGCTAAAGAGCAAAGTCCAACACCGGCCAGCGCTTCCCTTACAGAGCTGCAAGCCACAGTGCGGCCGCCTCAACGCCACAGGCCCCGGACGCCCATCCCAACAGCGCCCAATGCCCCAACTCCAGGAAAGTGCCCAGCGCCCCCTGGGCAGGGCTCCCAGTGAAGACCATCAGGGGATGCAAACAGGAGACGGGGAGTAAGGCGAGCAAACCCGAGAGAAACGCGTGCACCCCGGGGTGTTCGCAGCTCCGCCTGAGCGGGCTGGGTCACCTTGTGCCTGCCTTTGCCGAGCAGGGGTGTCACACAGGAATCTGGTGTCTTTATCGCCGAGTCTGTTTCCATGCAACAGCTGCCTGTGTGAGTCAAGATAAGCGCATCTGTGCACGTGTGCGCGCAAGAGGCGAGCGGAGCAGGCAAGGGCACGCAGCGGCCCGGCATGTGTCTGTGCCTGCGCGTGTGTAAACGCACCTACTGAGGCGCTTCTGCAGCTGAGCCCTTGGCGGCGGCTGCAAACCCCTGGCCCCCCAGCCAGGATCCCTGGCGAGTCCCCCCCCGGGTCCCACTCAGTCGGCATTTCCTGGGAAGATGATTTGGCGCTGTGTCTGCTGTTTGTCTTTCTATTTGGGGAAAGCCGGCCCCACCGGGTACTCCTCCCTTTCCTTCTCCACCACCACCCACTAGCTGCCCTTTCTGTCTGCTGACGGCTGGGGCCCGGCTGCTTCCTCTCCCACTGACTCTGCGGCCTGGGAACAAAGCCACCCGTCCCCCACCGCTCCACAGCCCTCTTCTGGACAATGCGTTTTAGCGTATCAGTCACATGAGTTACCCTTCATTTCCTTTTCTTTTTTCCCTGCCAGTTACTCCTGCACAGCCCAGGGGAGAGCGCGGGCTTCCCAAGGGCCAACCAGTGGGCCTGAACCTGCCCACAGCACCCACTAGCCTTGTAACCTCAGGCAAATCGTGGTGCCTGTGGGCCTCAGTCTTACCACCTGGGGAATGGGGGTACCACTGCCCACTGTGCTGGGAGGGCTGGGAGGATGCGGGGTGAGGACCGATGTCCTAGCGGGCACTCTGCAAGTGGTCCCGAACAAGGCCGGCCGCTGCTGTACTGAACTCAGGGAACTGGGGCTCCGAACCCAAAGGTTTGGCGAGGCCGGCCCACCCCATTTTCCCAGCAAGTTAACTGACACCCTCTGGAGAGGGCAGACATCGCAAAACCAGCGCACTGACCTCTTTGCTAGGAAAGAGGCACCTGTCGTCTGCTTGGAACCCAGGTGCCCTCCCCAGATGACCACGGTGTCCCCGTGCACCCCAAGTTCGGTACACTGACTATTCCTCTCCGGTGGAAGGTCTAGTGAAATTACCCCAAGAGCAAGGCCCGCCCCTCTCCTCCGCTTCCATCCCATTCCCCTCGAGTCCTGAGCAGGTGACCTGCGCAGGGACACTGCTGGGTGGCGGTCTCTCGGCTGGCCCCGGGGCCTGCTGGCACGGCTGGCCGTGGAGGGGGCTGTTACGGCCTCACCGGCTGTCACCTGCTCCACAGTGACGCGCCCCACGGGCCCTCAGACAGAGTCACCACAGGTGGGCGATGCTCATTCTAAATAAAGAGCCAGAGTGACCCATAAATCTTTAATGGCCAACCCTTCCCCCGCAGCTTTCCCCGAGCAGGCGCTCGGTAACATCCCCTGATTAATTTATTAAACGCGTCAGCTTGTCTCAGCGTTTGCGAAGTACTTTCCACATGAGTCCTAGAGGTACTGAGGGTCCTACGTGCTCTTTTCATGCAAAGTTACAGTCTTTTAATTTTTCGCACGGGCACGGCAGTCCTGGATCAATTTCTGGGGCCCCAAGAGGCCTGAGGACACAGCAGAGCAGGGGCCCTGACGCATGACAGTCAGGACACGCGTGTAGATAAAGGACACTGGACGGTCCCGCCTCAGAAGGCTGCAAGGTGTCCCCCTTATTCAGCTCCGAACACCACGGGAACCCCAAGTTCCAGCTCCATCACTGTGGTGTGGGGAAGGGAAGCTTGGCCCATGGATGAGGAATTGCTTTTTCCAGACAGGTCCAAAGATGTGCTATTTTGAAAGAGCTGTTTCTAGTAGATATTTTTAACTAATTGGATATGTTTACCCACTGGGTGAAGTCTGTGATGACATTGTTATCACGGGAGCCTTACCTGGCCTTCAAAGCAACTTTTCCCCCAAATTCTTAGATTTATAACAGCCATACATGAAAACTCAGAGAATTATAAAAGTTTAAGAAAAAATATCCCCACGATCCTAATAATCCCAGAGACGGATTCAGATCCCTAATAACCCCACAGATGGACACGGTCAGTACGTTAACATTCATCTTATCACAACAACATAGAGCTACGATAACATACAAAGTTGTGAATCTTGTTTTTTACAACATGGCCTCATGAACATGTTTTCATGTCGTTAAACAATCTTTGCTAACCGTCCTTTACTCTGTTGTTCCATTCATATTTTTAATGGCAAAAGACACACTAGGCAAAGACCGAATGAGGACAGAAAGATAAAGGAGACATGAGTCTTCCGTCAGTCACCGTCTGTGTCCCGCCCCTTCCCTGTGGCGGACACTCCTGGCGGCCGGAAGAGCGTCCTTCCGGACCTTTCTGCGGGTGTATCTGCATCCGGCTGCTTGTGGGAGGAGCTGCTCAGTCAGGGAGGCACCGCTGCAGTCACCTTCCCAGGCCATGCAGGGCTGGACCACAGGGGGGACCTCGGGCAGTGGCCAGTTGTGGCCTTTGACTCTGGGGCTTAAATGCCAAGGCCATTCATCGCATTAATGCAGCCACTGGTCAGCGACCTCCTCCTGTGTGCTGTGTCCAATGCTCAGCCTCATGGAACCCTCTCCACAGCGCTGTGAGGAGGGTCCTGCTATGCCCATTTCACAGGTGAGCCTGAGGAAGGGGCAGCACCGTAATTTTGCCAACTTCATCCCCTCGTTCTTGACTCGCCAAACACTCAGTAGGTCTACAGTACAGTAGGCTCGGTGAACAGCCATGCACGCCTGCGCGTCTGCTCAGAGGAGGGGTTAGCCCCCAGTACCTGGGACAGCGATTTCAAAAGCCAAACGGACACAAGGCCAATCCCACTTCATTGCACAAGCCTCGTGTCAAATGCAAAATGGACCCTGAGTCAGCAGCTCTGGCTGCAAAGCAACAAATTAACATGTTTTTTCAAATTTTCATTTCCATTCTTGGCAAAGCTGTGGGGAACTGTCATCTATGAGAAGGACTTGGAAATGGGAAAACATTTCCACTGCAGAGAGAAACTCTCGTTTAAAATCAATTGTGAGAAATTAAGGTCATCAGCGGTAATGGAAGCAATAAAATGCAATTTGGTGGCGTGGTTACGCCCCACACCAGTTAAATGCTCTGTAAGCTCGGCTTCTCACGCACCAGGGACTGAGCCACGGGCACCCGCAGCCCTGCACCCTGCCAGTCTCCCCAACAAGGAAAAGTGGAGCCATCCACCGCTTACGTACCCCTGCCTGTGGGATTTCTTCGAATGACCGGAATAGTAAGAATATCCAGAATACGTGGACTCGGTATCCATAGCAATGGCCAGCTCGCTCTGGATGAAGGAGCAGGTGTTGTTTCTCCGGCGAGGTAGAGAGTTTCACCAGCGGGGTTCCTGACACCTCAAAGGGCCTGGGAATCGAGGAGCCACTCATCCACAGGAACAAATTCTGGGAAAAAGGGGAGAAAACAGCTATCAGCCTTCAAAGCCAACCTGCAGGGCCGGAGCGTAATGAGAGCAGCGCCTCCTCCTCCTCCTCCGGGGTCTCCATGCTCAGGCAGCAACAAGCTTCCTGGGCATCTGGGAGGGAGACAGGTAGGTGACAGTCAAGCCACGCCCCGGCCACAGCAGCAGGAAAACCGGAGGCAGGTGAGACCTGGCCCTCGGCCATTTCCTGGATACAGCCCAGCCCCCACAGGTTCAGGCTGGGGGTAGTGGCTTCCCACAGCACTGACACGATACCCAGCCCCCACTGCCAGTTTGCTGGTTACAAAAACAATACCCAGGAAAGTCACTTTAAAGGGATTTGCTCATAGTTTCCAAAGGCCAATCTAAAAGGGGAAAAAAGTTCTCAGTCTCTTTAATCCAGGAACCCAAATTCCTGAGAATTTATCTTAGGGAACTAATTTCTTTTTTAAAGAAAAGTTATAATTACCGCATTGTCTGTAGTAGTAAAAAGCTAGAAACCATCTAAGTGCCCCAACACAGAGGAATAGGTTTATCCACCCAAAGAAATACCACAGAGCTGGTTACAATGATAATGATGAAGAATAGAGATGTTTATGATGGCGTGGCTACTGTAAAAAGCAGGCTAGCGGGTTGTGGCGACCACCGAATCCACACGGCAGTTACAACCCTATAAAACCACGCGGGTAGACACGGGATGAGGAGCGACATCAGAGAAAGGGAGCAAGTGATTGATGAGTTGCAGGCTCCTCGCTCTTTTCCCAGATTTGCATTAGATGCTGCTTGGCAATAAAAATAAATGAGAAACATTTCCAAGTAAATTCCTGAGCCCCACACGCCAACTTCTAGAACACCCGGGATCTGAGAGTGGCGCCTCTCCCTTGCACCCATCACCCCAGAGCCGGGCTCCGCCCCACAGGGCTCCTCCTTCCAGGGCCCTGGGAGCTCACACTGCAAACAGCCAGTGAGAGAAGTGCCAGGAAACACAAAGGACCTGCAAATGCCATGCCCCTGTCCCTGGGGGGGGGGGGGGGGGGGGGGGGGAGCTCACACTGCAAACAGCCAGTGAGAGAAGGGCCAGGAAACACAAAGGATCTGCAAATGCCATGCCCCTGTCCCTGGTGGGGGGCAGGCCAGGCTCTTGGACCCAGCAACCACCACCCCACCACCCTCAAAGGGCGAGCTCCCCTCCAGGGTCTGTGACCCAGACCTCGCCTCCCTGGTCCTGGGTGCCGTGACTGGTCATTTCCATCCTCCTCCGCCCTCAAGGGGCCAGGTGAGAAGAGGGAGACCCGGTTCTAGCAGAGCTCTCCCCTGCCTAGTACAGCCTGGGACTGGCCACTGGCCTCGAGCGTGTTTCCTCAATTGTCCAACCAACCAGCCACCATCTTCCCGGGGTTGATCTGAAGACCTAAGCAGATGCAGTATCCGGAGCCGGGTGCCAATCCAGGTCTCACTGGTTTATTAGCTGTGTGACCTCAATCGTAGTACGAACCCTCTCTGAACCTGCATCCGTAAAAGGTATATAACAGGGCTGCTGGGAGGAGGGAAGAGCTACACGTGTGAACGCTCCCAGCTGTGGCTCCAAATACTGGACACATGAAAGTCGTGACTCCCAGGATGCCCGTCCCGGGTCCAAAACCTGACGCCCTCCTGTCTTTCTCAGGAGAAGGAAAGCTGTGGGCAAGGAGCAGGCAGAGCAGTGCCCAGGCGGTCTTCCCCCCCAGAGGCTGGCCTGCAGTCAGGGGGCCCTGGGCTGGCATCTCAGCCCACCCGTGGCTAAGGAGCTGCCACCTGAGCAGGGCAGGCTCCCCGGGGAGCCTCGGGCCTCCTCGTCCCTTAAGGAGAAATCAGCAGCCTATTTTCTGGGATGACTGTGAATGTGAAAACAGATGACAAATGTTGTAGGCATTTTGAAAAAAGGTTAGTTCTGCTCTCGGACCTACCCCCACTTTTCCAGCCCGCTCATCGTTTATGCTCCCTCCTCTGCCTCCCACCATTTTCACGAGCAATTTCCACGGCTTTCAGCACCTCAGATTCTCACTCCTTTCTGCTCGGGGCTCTGCTGCATGTTACCTGGCAGCCACCGGCATCGGGAGGTGGGCCAAGCTCCCAGGCCTGCCCTGAACCAGCCTCCTTCCCCGAAGGCCCTTCGCCCTGCTCTCCGCTGACCCGCGGGCTCCACCGCCGGTGCTTCGCCCAGAACCCTGACTGCCACTCCTCCGTCCAGAATTCACACCCACAACGCCTGCCCTTTCTCTGCCTTCCAAACCGGAATTCCTGATGGCCCTTTCCAGCCCAACTTCTAGCTAACACCTGCTGCCAGGGGGTCTCAGGGACAGGCGGCCCAGGCCCCGCAGACCCGGATGGCCCCATCCAGGCTTCCTGGCCATGACTCCGAGGGGCACACGCTCACCTCGCCGGGCTGTTTCTCCCCCTGTAACACGAGGCCATTTCATTCGATCACCTCCTCGGGCGGGCGGTTGTGAGCATCCACGGAGACTCCCTACGTGACGCCTCTGGCACCTGGTAACCCACGTGTCCTCTTCCCCCTCTGCCAGCGGACGCCATTCTTCATCCTCATTAAAAATCCTGGCCGTCCATTAGGGCAACTCCAGGCACGTCCCGCCGAGGAAATCGTGTGTTTCTCTCTCTCCCTCTCCCTTCTGCTCTCTTTGGGAAAAGGCTGTACCCAACCTACCAACCGCCCTTGTCCAGTTTCTCTCCCACAATTCCAGCCTGTACCTATCACAGGGGGGTCTGCAGGTGCTGCCACTCCCCCGACTGTCACCGCGATCCTCCACCCTCTCCACTGAAGAGCTCTTAGCCGGCCAGCGACTGCGATGAGCCTAATCCAAAGGTCACGTCCCTGTCCTCCTTTCCCTAGATCTTAGCCTATCTATCCACTCACCACCGCCAATTCATTAAGCAGCTGGAGAGACCCACTGGCAAGCCCGGGGCACAGCCCTAGATCTTAGCCTATCTATCCACTCACCCACCGCCATATTCATTTAGCAGCTGGAGAGACCCACTGGCAAGCCCGGGGCACAGCCACGCCAACGCACACAGCACAGCGTCACCATCAGTGCGATGCACTGACACTGCTCCTCCGTGCGCCCTCCCCTCGCCCCGTCAGGTTATCCCTCAAGACACAAACTCGCCCGTTCTTCCCCAGCCGTGGATTTACTCTAACAGGAGATCCTTGAGACGAGAGCTATTGTTTACCCCAGGACACTCTGAACACAGAGGTACCAGCAAGTACCGCCCCCAATGCTCTGTTCCCACTGTTCCCACGCAGGTGGCTCTGCTGCACCCGGGAGTCTCATCCATCACCCTCACAACACCCTCCGCTGTCCAGGCCGACCCTTTCCCATTTCCTCCGTCAGGGCGATGTAATCATCCTACCTCCCGCCCCTGTAACTCCACCCCGTGCCATTTCCATCCCCCGCCCCCCTCATCCCTCACACCCTCCATCACCAAGTGCCCTGGTCCTCCAGGACTCTCCTCCCCACACCCCTCCCGTTCTCAGCCGCCCTCTTCCTCCAGGGCTAACCTATTACGGAGCCTGCAGTCTCCTCACTGAACCCAGTCTTTACAGAGCCCAGGCCCCTTCTTCTGCATCAGACTGTCCCCTTCATCACTATGAACTCCTGTCCGGGACCTAAGGGGGGATTAAGAAGCAGCAACAGGCAGCCCAGTGACAAAAATCCAGAGTGAACTCATCTTAAAAGCCAATGTCAGAGCTTCAGTAGACAGCAGTCCCCTCTTATCCACGAGGGACACATTCCAAGACCCCCAGCGGATGCCTGAAACCTCGGATAGTACTGAATCCTGTATATACTTTGTTTTTTGCTATACACACATACCTACGAGAATGTTTAATTTATAAATTAGGCACAATAAAGAGACTAACAACAATAATAATTAAGTGGAACAATTGTAACAATATACTATAATGAAAGTATGTGAATGTGGTCTCTCTCTCCCAAGGTATCTTAGAGCACTGTGCTCCTCCTTCTTCTTGTGAGGCCGTCAGATGACACATGCCCAGGTGATGAGATGAAGTGGGGCGAATGAGATGCTATTAAGTAAAACAATGGCGCTGAGCTACCTCGCGGTGGATCTGATAACCTACGCGACCACTAAGTGGCTAAGGCGGGTAGATTTATGGCGTGGATCCTGGACAACAGGACGATTCACCTCTCAGGCGGGATGGAGAGAGAGCTCACCACACTACACGGAATGGCGTGCAATCTAAAACTTATGAATGGTTTATTTCTGGAACGTTCCATGTAATATTTTCAGACAGCGGTTAACCGCGGGTAACGGGAAGCCTGGAAAGCAAAACTGTGGGTCAGGAGGGACTACGGCGTCCTGAGGCTTATCACGCAATGACAGTATTTACAAGATACTAGTAGTTTCCTTGTATGTACAAGAAATGAGCAGAGCTCAGATAAGGCCAGAGGGCTGCCTTATCAGGAAGGTAATGAAGTGAAAGAGAAGGAACCAGATTCCCAGGGTGATAGCCCACAGGCCGCTGCATGGCCGGCGGGGATGGTGTCACGTAAAGGCGCTAACAGGGATCCTGGAATCTGGAGCCGTCCGACTCCTGGCCCAGCGTGACCTTTCACATCACAGGCAGATGTCACTTCCTGTAAGCCCCTCCCGCTCTAGCCCGGGCCCTTTCGCAGCAGCCTGTACCTTTGCTTTACATCACAACGTCCAGTTCTCCATCTGAGCGGGTACCTTCTGCAGGGACGGTCAGCTCCGGGGGGCAGCGGCCACCTTCGTCACCCCCTCTCCAGCCCTGAGGACCTAACAGGCACGCGGTGCGCGCTCAGTGAAGAGTGGCCATCCTCAGGAGGTGAAGGCCATGCATGGACTGTGCAAGACACTGTAGAGATCACCTGTCTTACATCCCCGTTTTCTGGAGGAGGGAAAGGTGCAGGGTTCGAGTTGGCATTGATGACAACCACCTGGAGCCGCGCTGCCTGCTGCTCACACACCTGTCTCACACAGACCTGCCCTGGCCAGCCGCCTCCCCCGCCCGCCTGTCAATATCCCCCGCCCGCTGCAGGCACCGCAGGAGGCAGACACTGGGACAGGGCAGGGCTGGCACACCATGTCCACGGAGGCACGGAGAAAAGCGAAGTGAAGACTGGTGGCCTCGAAGGGAATCTTTCCCAAAAGTCATGTTCACGCACATAAACTATACCTACTCCTTATATGGAGAGTGCAGAGCCATCGGAGGGAAATGGCGTGTTGCGGTAAGGGCGGCAGTAAACAGAAGCTGACCTTCATGGAAAGGAAATTATAGAAACATCCACAGCTCTGCCTGGAGTTGTTAGGTAATTAAGGGCACTGGTTTGCAGGGAAGAAGGTTCCCTTGCAAGGCGTACAGAGACACACACTGAACTTAAAGGGCTGCGGCCTTCACTCCCCTCCTGCAGTGGGTGTATTTCTAAGGGAAAGAGTTTCTGTGGACATTACGTTAAATATTTAATTTTCATCATATATATCATTCTAAAGGGTTCATTGTTATTCTTACTATGTTCTTTTACTTTATTTGTATTGTTGACACTATTACAGATGTCCCCCACCCCACCCCCTTTGCCC